AGCCAGGGCAAGGCTGAGGTTGTTGGTTTGTTAACATAGGGTCTCTGGGGCTGGGTTGTGCGTGTGGGTTTGTTCTTGTGGGTGTCTGGCAGGCACTGTGCTGAGCTATGCATGCCCTCACTGGCCTTTCCCTCCACACTGCTGTGCTGTTCCTCCCTGCAGCAACATCAAGTCTTGCAGATCAAAGGGCCGTGATGAACCACACAGGTGAAGAGCCAAGACCCATTTCCCCTAGGCCAAGACCCACTGAGCAGTTTCAGCCCTGCTCTCCTGCAGCTGGTGCTGTGGGTCACAGGGCTGCTCCCACCAGCTCAGCTGATGCTAGTCCTGAACCTACTCTGATGTGGTCCAGCTCAGCCCACACTGCAGCCAGACCAGGTTCTTGGCATCTCTATTTCTGGCTTACATCTGGCAGAACCACAAGCACCTCAGGACACTGTGCTATGGCTAGGCAGTATTACTAATAGCTTGGCAAGATGCAGGAGATGGAGTGAGGCTGGCACAGCCTCCTGGGATGAGTGTGGAGCTGCTGAGAGCCCCATTTCCCAGGGCCACGTCAAGAGAACAAGGAGCAGTTCTGTTTCCTGATGGCACCCCTGTAGGATGGAAGCATGGCAGGCATAGGAAGATAGGCTGTTCAGGCTGGTTCAGGAGCAGGCAGGGTGGAAGTTGCTGGAGGCATTGTCCCTATCAGTTTGGCATAAGGTGACCAGCTACTGGTGACCAATGAAGCTTTCTGCTTTGCTGGTGTTGTGCTCACCTGGCTGCATGTCACAGATGGTGCAGGCACGACCAGAGCTGCCTGTCCCTCCTTTCCAGAGGTCGATGGCTTTGTTTTATCAGTGTTCTCAATGTTTTCATATTCACAGCCCACAGGGCTTCCAGGAGTTACACACTCAGCTGGGTTCAGGCATCTGCTACTCAGTCCCCTGACACCCTGGCTTTTTTGAGGAGAAGCAGGGAGCAGGGAGCTGAAATCACTGCCCACCATTAAGAGATAGGGATGGGATGCGGATGCTGCCTCTGCAGATGTGATAATACCAGCACCCAGGCATGAGAAGCATCAACAGGAGATAACAGGAGGCAGTGAGCAAATGCTACTAGGTGCTGTGCTGACTGCTCGTAGAAAATCCATGACACAACAAATATTTGCAGCTCTCTTGCTGCAGACAAGCCCCTCATTGGCCTTGCAGCTGGAGTGACAGGTAGGGAATGGGGGGTCAGACACGTGCCTGCATGATGAGGACCTTTCCAGTTTACCAGTCCCTGCTGGCTGCTGGACATGGGCTGCTGCAGCTTGCAGCCATGGTACAGGCATTCACCAAGCTCAACAACACACAGCACAGCGTGATGGGAAATGTAGTCTTGCTGCATCACCTGCACTGTGTGCTGTTGGACATAACCCGGCTGCACATGAATCACTGGGGTTGGGACCTTCTCACGTGTACTCTGGGCTCCTCACACTGACGAGGCCTCCTCAGCAGGTTGGAGCAGATGTTGCTGTGCCCCCCTCTCCTATTTCCTATGGGGCAGGAGAGGAAGATATTTGTTAGGGACTGCCTATCTCATGAACATGCAGGGCACAAGCAAGCGTGGAGATCTGCTGGGTGATGTCTGGTGGGAGAAGAGCAGAGGTTGCCAGGGGAAAGGATGAGGGGGGATGCTTGGGACCAAAAGGCTGCACCCACATGCTGGGAGGAAGCACCAAAAGGAATCATCAGAGTCAGTCGATGCTCCTTGTTCTGCTCATCTCTGGGTCTGCACAGCCCTTCCAGGCTGGAAAACCCTCCTGTCATGAAGCTTTGTGCTTGCTCTGACACAGCTTCACACACTCCCCACAGTCATCCCGGACCTCCCCCCACACCAGCAGCCATTGATTTTGCTGTGTGTTTGCAGAGAACAAGCCTTAGGTATGGATGGTGTCATGGTTTAAACCCAGCCAGCAACTCAGAACCAAGCAGTCACTTGCTACTTGCCCTTCTTCCCCTGGGCAGAATGGAAAGGAGAATCAAAAGAATGTAAACCCGTGCGTTGAGATAAGAACAATTTAATAACTAAAGTACAGTAGAACACTACTGATAATAATACTGCTAATAATAATAAGGCAAATAACAATGAGAGAGATATGAAACTAGCATGGAAAACTGAAAACAACAACAAAAAAATCAAAGTAAGTGCTACTGAGCAGCAACAAATCAGCATTATTGCTAAAGGCAATTATTGAAGGCAAAACAGCACCAGCTGCTAAGAAGAAAAATAACTTCCCATGTGAAAACAGGGCAGATGGGCTCTCACACACTGGAAAAGTGAGAGCAGGGGAATGCTATAGGTCTGGGTCTGAGCAAAGGCAAGCTTACTGCTAGCTGATCCCAGACAGAGCTGTGCTGCAAGGACTCAATGCCAGTGTGGAATAGAGGTGGGAGTGCAGCAAGGACCAGTTTTTCTGTGTGGAATCCCCTCTGCATCCCTCACCACCCTGCACCCATATCCCATGGCCTTACAGGTCACCCCCATCCCCTGCACCTCTCCAGCACCAGCCACCCTGGGCTGTTTGAAGGCTCTCACCCATGCTCTGCCTGTGTGATGCACCATCACCAGCAGTCATGGAGAAGATGTCAATCCCTGAGCCTTTTCCCTGTGAGAAGGGGGATGGTGCAGAGTCCAGAAGGAGAAAGGGAAGGAGAACAAAGCCTCCTTCTTCTCCCACCTGCAGCTCCACAGAGCCATGGAGACCTTTCTGCTTGTCCTCACTGGAGCTTGAGCAGTTTAATTCAGGGTTTGCTGCAGGCTCAGCCCTGCCTGGCTTCTCTCCAGCTGCTCAAAGTGTACCTGCCTGCACCACAGGAGGGACTGGGGCAAGGAGACCTTTAGCCATGTCTCAGATTGAGCACTGCTGTGCCAGGCAAGAACACAGTGTGGTGGAAATAGCACAGTAGAATTACAGGCACTCAAGGGAGAAGGGACAGTACATCCTGCCATGGCAATTTCCATAGTCAGAGCCATCTCCAGGGCTTTAATTTATCTGTTACAACTTAATTGGATTTCAACCCAGTCACTCCTAAGCAGCAGGAGTCCTAAACAGGCACTGGTCCTGAACTTCTCTCTGCAAGATGCCTCATGAAGACTCCCCATCTCTGCTGCCGTGCCTTAACCCTCAGTGCTGCTGCTCACATGTACTCAAGGGAAAGGGAGAGTCAACATTCACTCTCCTGCTGCCCCATCTAAGCTGGCTTTGCTCCTCTGAACAGCTCCCAACACCACTGACGAGCTGGTTGCTGGGCTGTGGGCACAGCAGGATGCCCAGATTTTGGGTACTAGGGCTGAACCCAGGCAGGGAAGGCACCCACCCGAGCAGCATCACAGTAGAAGGGCAGAACCTGCTGCCTCCCATCCCCACATGCGGATGCTGGTCTTCTCCCTGTGCCCACCACAGGAGGCCTGTGAAGCTGCTCCTGTCATTCTGTTGTCAGCAGGACAGACACATGAGGCCCAGGAAACCCACGAATGTGGCTTGTTGCACAGTGTGGTTCCCCACAGCTACAGCAGCCTCCCTGGCACACTCCTGGCAGGCAGAGGCACCAGGCTGCAGCAGTACTGGTGAGGAAAGGGGGTAGCTCTGACCCCATGAGATGAGGACTGGCAGAGCCCTGCCCCCTACTCTGCCTCCGTACACATAGAAACTTGCCCTGCACAGACCCACTCCCTTCCGTGGACCTCGAAGAGCAGAATGCCATGTATTTTTGGGGGGGGGGGGGGGGGGGGGTTGGAAGGAGGCAGGGGGCTATAAAGAAGTCAGAGGCTCTAGTCCACAGGGTTACTCACCCTCCTGGGACAAGGAAGAAAACCCAGAGCTCATGATCTGTGGTGTTTATCCATGGTGGCACCTGGAGCTGAGCACCGGCCAAAACCATGCCACACCACGAGACACTCCACGTGGTTGCTGGAGTGGTGCTGGGCTCGTGGAGACAGCAGAACCTCATAGGGAAACCATCCCTGGCAGTGTTCAAGGCCAGACTGGACGGGACTTGGGGCAACATGCTCTAGTGGAAGCTATCCATGGCAAGGGGTGAAACTGGATGAGCTTTAGGGTTCTTTCAAGCCCAAACCATTCTGTGGCTCTATGAAAGGGCTGAAACAAAGCAGTCACGGGGTGGCTGTGGGAGCAGGGCAGCACAACACGGTTGTGGCAGCTCCCTCGAGGCGGCTGGGGCAGGGCTGGGCCAGCACAGGTGGGAGAACGCCAAAAAGAGCGGCAGAGAAATGTGTGGGACAGAGCAAGGGCAGATCCAGCTGCAAGGGAGTCCCTGGGCACGAAGGACAGGACAGAACGGCCTTGGAGCCAGGAAAAGGCCTGCGGGGGAGCAGCAAGCAGAAGGAAAATAGGGAGAAGTGTAAAAGCTCAGAATAGGGAGAAACATGAAGGGGTACAACAGGCACTGGGCATAGTCACTGAGAGGCTGTCTTCCCTGCTCCTCCAGAGGACAGACCCCATCCACACAGGGTGGGTGCAGAGGGGAAATCAGAACCCCACATCCACAGCATCCCTCCATCCTAGTGATGGCTATGAGGAGGCATCCCAGCCTGTACCAAAGGGACCCATTCTAGCAGAGGCAGCTTGTGCGGGGAAATTGGACCCACTACACTGTGGGGCTGCGTAATGGGGAGGTCAGATCATAGAATCACGTAATCATGGAATGGTTTGGGTTGGAAGGGACCTCAAAGCTCATCCAGTTGCAATCCGCTGTCAGGGGCAGGGACACCTTCCACTAGAGCAGGTGTCCAACCTGGCCTTGAACACTGCCAGGGATGGAGCAGCCCCCACGTCCTTGGCATACTCGGGGTTATCGCTGAGGCTCCGCTGGGCGCCGCCGTGAGTCCCAAGGAGTTAAGGGCTGTCCCCGCCCCAGCTCGGCTCCGCCCCGCTTGTGCGAGGCTCAGGGCGGCGGGGGCGCAGCTCCGGGCCGCGGCGGGGGTCGGGGTGCTGCTGCCGCCGGGCCATGAGCGCTGAGCCGCTCGCCCCGCGCCGCCGCCGCCGCCGCCGCGGCTGAGCATCGCCCCGGTGCCGGGGAGGGCGGCGGAGGGAGGACGGGAAGGGGACGAGAAGGGACGAAGGGAAGGCGGCGGCGGCGCCCCGGCCGCGCCCGTGCGGGGATGTGAATGGCGCTGGAGGTGCTCGGCGGGACCGACATGGAGTGGGAGAAGCTGCCGCGGCGGCCCGGGGAGGGCGAAGGGGAGGCGGCGGGGCCGTGGCTGGGCTGCGGGCGGCTGCGGCCCTCCTCGTACCGGGCGCTGCGCAGCGCCGTCTCCACCCTGGCGCGCATCGACGACTTCTACTGCGAGAAGATCGGCGCCGGCTTCTTCTCCGAGGTCTTCAAGGTGTGCGGGGAGGGAGCGGAGATGGCGGTGTCACCCCGGCGTCCCGACGGGGCTGGGAGTCCCGCCTTCGGGCTCCCGCGCAGGCCCTCGGCGGGGTGCGGGACGGGGGGTTCAGGACCCCCCCCCCTCCATCCACCGTAGCTGGGCGATGGGGATGCGGGACACGGAGTGCGGGGAGCCCGGTCCCTCCGGGGTGTTCGACCTCCGTCCCTCCGTGCAGGGGGAGGGGACGGCAGCGCCGGCTGTGTTTACCTCCCGGGAGGCTGAGCGCTCCGAAGCAGCGGCGGGGAGGGCCGGGGCAGCGGTGGGGTGGCGGGCAGCGCGGTCCCGGGGGCCCCCGTCTAACAGCCCGGCAGGCCTGGACTGTGCCTATGGCAGGGGATGGAGGTGATGTTTGCAGCCGGGCAGGGGTGATTTCCAGCGTTGCTGGACCTGTTCCAGCCTGTGCTGGGCGGGTGGATGTGCAGGATGCTCCACGGGAGCTTGGGGCACCCTGAATGGGGCTGGCCGCGGCTGGGACCCCGTAGCTGTCTTTGTCCTCTGCAGTCTCGGACTGACGGAGTAGGAATGGCTGCATGTGGCTTTTACCCTGGTTAGGGGTGCATCGGTGCTGGTGGGGAGCTTAAGGTCCCAGCAGTTCATGGTGGTGTTACCCTGCCAAGAGCCCAGGAGCTGTGCTGTGCCCCGCTGCCACAGCCGCCTCTCCCCGTCCGGGGGGGGGGGGGGGGGGGGCGTGCACTTGTTTTCGTCCTCGGCATCACTTAAGGCACCACAAGCTGCTGGGCAAGGTCTCCTCTTAAGCTGTACTCCTAGTGGCTTCACCGCCCTCAAAGGGCAGCTTTGGGCTGGGCAGGACCCCTGCCACCTCCCACCACAACAGGGCATCCATGTCCCAGCAGGACCCTGGGGTCCCTTCTCCAGCCCTGCTGCCGTTCCTCATTCAGCAGGGAGACTCAAAGATCTGGCTGCTGGGCAGCCATGAGAGAGATGCTCTGCAAGGGGCCATGGCAGGCATGCAGAGGGGTCCCTCGTCTTCATGCTCTCTCCTTCCCTTGCAGAGTCTTTTTGTTGGCTGGGTTCCTGCTATCGATCTCTGGCTTGGAGCATGTGGCAGCACCTCAGAGCAGAGGGAGGCATTTAATAATGCCAGTGTGGATATGGCTCTTTAATAATGGATGCTCCCATGTCTCGGACAGGCCATGGTCTCTCCTTGCCTTGCTGTTTGTTTTCCCAGGTCCTGCGGGAGCCACAAAACACTCCTTCTCCAACCTGTTGTTCATGTTCTCATGAGACCACTTCCATGTGGGATTTGGGGGACAGGTGGAGGTTGGGGGGGGGTGGGAGCTGGATCAGGCAACAGGAGCTGATGATGTGTGTGCTTGCTGAAGAGGAGGCAGGGCCAGGAGGGGGCCAGATGGGGCTTTGTGGTCGTGTGGTGGGTTGAGTCCAAGAGCTCAGCAGGATGGTGGGGCAGGCCCGTGATCTGAGCTGGGGTTTGGCTGCCTGAGCGTGCGAGGAGGATGGAGCTTGGCAGGGCAGCACAGGACCCGGTTTCCTCCCACCGCCCTTGTTCCTGCTGTTGCTTTCCATGGCCGTGGGCACTTGCAGCCCCCTCTTCTTTGTGGCTGCTGCCTCATTCCAGCCTTGGTAGGCACGGGGAGGGGACCTAAACTTCTCTCCCTACGCAGGTAGCTCAGCGCTGGTGTGCACACGAACCACGATGCTAGAGCACTGGTGTCTGTCTTACCAGCATTAAAACCAAAAGGACTCAGTGTGTCAGAGTCCTTGGGTTGAGCCAAGTGCTTCTCCAGAAGGGCTGTCAAAGACAAACGGGAGACACCAGTGATGAAATGATGCCCTGGGGGTTGTTCCCAGCTGATTCCCCTCTGTGCTGCAGTGAGTTTCCTTCTGCAGCAGCTGGTTCTCATTGCCTTTCCCTGTGAGATTCCAGAGGTAGCAGGCCCACCCATTTTCCAGGTGGAAGGAAGCAGTGCAGTGAGCCACCTCTCCATGTCTCATCATCAGTCCATTGGACTGAGCAGATTGGCTCAGGTGTGTTTGTGCCAGACATCATCTCTTCCCCAAATCCTTCTCTTTACCGAGCGTGGTCCGCAGCAGATGCAGGGCTGCAAGCAGCATCCTGGCTTCAGTCTCTGGGGGCTGTATTCAGAGGTCTTCACTCATCCAACTCTGCATTTTATGTGCCCCACTCTCACACAGCCTCTTGAAGATACTGCTTCCCACAGTGCAGACCATTGGGAAAGCACCCCATTTCCATGGTGCTGGGGCCAGGGGGGAATTGGCAGCTCCCAGAGTGGACAGAACCTGGGAGAAGGCTTCAGCATTACTTCCCACCAACTTCTGAGGTTTTGCATTTACTCCCAGTTTACCATTGCAACTAATGACACAGCTCCCTCTTATCTGCTGCCCTTCATCAGCGGACCTTGCATTGGTTTACAAAGGAGGGTGGAGCGGCGTGACACAGATGGAGAAACCAAGGCAGGTGGGGAGGAAGTGGATTTACCAAGGTCAGCCAGCCATGGGAAGGCTGGGAGCAGCCCTGGGCCTGCTGTCGGCGCTGGGGAGACACGGGTGCTGGGCACGTGTTGTGCTTGTGTTAGCTGGCGACCTGCTGGCGCCTCTCCTGCGTTGTCACGGGGTGTGCTCTAGCCTTGGTGGTGAGCACTGGTGATGCTCTGGTGCTGCTGGTGTGCCCATGGAGCCACTCCTGAGAGCATGGGATGCTCAAGCATTTGTGGGGAGCAGGTGGTGCTGTATGTGCCCTGGTGCTTTCACTGCCCTGGAGGAACCTGTCTTGACTGATTCTGCCTTTTCTGTGCAATGAACAGATTTTCCAGTCCCACACGGTAGAAGACCTGTTGCACTGCTGGGATTCTCGTGGCTGTGGGATTACTGGTGGTGTTTGTAGCTCATTTACTTGCCCCCCCCCCCCCATCTTTCCCTGCTGGGCTTTCCAGGCCAAGGGCTGCAGGATGATGTCTCTGCATGACTGCTTTGCCAGCGCCAGGGTGGGACAAGGGGATGGATAAGCAGCAAACGGGGTGCAGGGGAGCTGGCTGCTGAGACCCACAGATGGGGAGGTGGCGGTGGTGTTTTCACCCCATGTCTAGACAGTATCACCGGCTGTGGGGAGGGAGCAGGCCGTCTGCTCGCTCTGATTAGCATGCTCTTTAAATAAGACTCTAATTTCCGCTGCTAAAAGAGCTTAGATCCCTTGTGCCCAGGCTGGGGCCCGCAGCCAGCCCTGTCCCATCCCCCAGCCCCACGTGCTGCCAACAGATGGGATGGGGACCGACGCTCCACGGCACCCCAGCTCATGGGTACCCCCATGCAGCACACGATGGAGGGGCTGTGTCGCATCATGAGGGCTTGCATGGTGTCTGGATGGAGGATCAGTGGCTTGTCCTCCCCCTTCGCCCCAGCATGGCTGCCTGGCTGAGCTCAGCTCTCGGGAATGCGCTGGGATTCCTGGGCTCCATGCCAGAGTGTGGAGGGGCGAGGGGGGACCCAGCTGTGCTGCCCAGAGAGGCTCTGCTGCCCGCTGCCTTCCCTGGGTGACAGTAGGAAGGAAACCCCTTTGGCTATGGGCTGCATCCTGCCTGGGGTCCTGGGCTGCTCCCTTTTCTGCCCTGCCTCCTTCCAGAGGGTGCTGGGCTGGTGCTAGCGGCTGGCCAAGCTGGGTGAACTGGTCAGCACATGTGGGAGGCTGTGGGCAGCACAAGGGGGCATAACCCCTTCTAGTGGCCTTGAGCATGAAGCATGTGAGGGGAACAGCAGGATAGGACCTTGCAAGCAAGCTCGGGGTACTGGATGCCCTCAGAGAGGTTATGCCCCATGGGTGTGGGGCTGGGGCTGTCCTTACAGCCCTCCATGCCCCTGGGGATGGAGTCGCAGAGTAGGGCATCAGGACAGGGCTGTGCTGACATGGGAGAAATCCTGGGGAAGGGACTTTCACCAGACCTTCCCTGTCCTCCAGGCATTAGACCCTACATGGCTGCACTCACCCAGCCTATTGCAGTGGCAGGAGGCTTTTTAACCAGAATGAATCCACAGGCACATCCTGACCGTGTGGGGCTGAGCTGGGGGCTGCTCCCTCATGCACAGATGCCATTGCTGGCAGGGACACAGCCATCCTTACAGTGCATGGCCAGTGGTGTGCGTGCCACACGGCATTCCCATCGTGGGCGCATGGCTTGGCGCCGGAGCATCGCCGCCCGCAGACATCCCAGCAGGGCACAGTGCTGTGGAACGAGGTCCCGGCGCCTGGCAGCTGCCTGTGCCAGCCAAACCGACCCAGCCAGTCCTGCCGGCGTGGGAAGGGAAGAGAGTAGTGCTGCCATTGGGAATGCTGGGCTTTGGCACCCAGCGCCGGGGGTATGGAGAGGTTGGGAGCCCTGATGTTGTGTCTGATGCTGCCTTGCGTTTGGGGATGGGGTGGAAAGAAGGAAATGATGGTGGGCAGGAGGTGGGGGGGTCTTTTCCCTGCCTGCTGGTGCAGATGTGGGCAGGGAGCCCTAGGGCATTGTGCCAGGCCCTGCAGGGAGTGGGGTGAGCAGGGAGGTGGGCATGGGGAGGAGTTGTGTTGTCATTAGATGGGGCACCATGGGTGCGTGCAAGGCTCGAGAAGCTGCGATCCAGACATGTGGACCACCCGAGAATGGGCTCTTCCAGAGCCCAGGAGCTTTGTGCAGTGCTCAGCAAGGAGGAGGCATGGGGAAACCCATCCTCCCTTCTCCTTTGGTGTGGCAGTGGGCTGGGATGGGGATCCAAGGTGGCCAGAGTGTCCCCTCACCTCTTGTTTGTCCAGGATCCATCCTGATCTCTGCTGCCATGTAGCCACCATGCAGGTGACACACATGTAACCGGAGTGGAGAGCCACGGGCTGGCAACTACTGAATTACTGAGCCTCTCCATGAACTCAGCTGCTGGTAACACAGTGGGTTTGGGTAGGGCTGGGCTGTTGCCTGTTGTACCACTCTGCCTGTGGCTGGGTTCGCCATGGTGCACCCAGACTTTCAGATCTTTGTAAAGCACTAATTTCCCCCTACACCTTTTGGTGGGGAAACTGCTGCCCATTCCCTGCGTTTTGGGTGCTGGATGGGTCCCCATCTCAGCATGCACCCTAGGGTAACTGCTTCCTAAAGCAATGCCAGCTGTGGGATGGAAAGAGAGCCCCGGAGGGCTCAGCACTCCAGGTGTTGTAATGGGGACAGAGGCCAAGCTGAAAGCAGGATGGGGGGCACTATAGGCCCTACATCCACCCGGCGCCCCATGTTTTGCCCAGGGAGGTGAGGAGGGGCTGGCACCAGCACCGCAGCCTCCACCAGCATCGACTAAAAAGGAGAAGAGCAGGGAGCTGACGGCAGCGCCGAGGAATGCCTGCGCCTCCGTGATCGCTCCGTGTGTGTGGGGGGGCAGCTGGGATCTGCTGGGTTGTCCCCACAACCGGCTGTTGCTCCGAGGGGGGGGCCCATCCCACCCCCAGCTCAGGAAGGGACACTCGGCACTGGTTCAGCCTCCACGCACACCCCACACCCCAAACCCCCCCCCCATGGTGCTGGGACAGGGAATCCCGTGCTCATCCCTTGTCCCGCACGTGCCGGGGGTGAAGGACCGGAGTGTTCGTGCTTGGCCACACTCCCAGCTGCTGTTCCTGGCCAGGGACCAGGCTCCAGCTCGCATGACAGCGTCAGGCTGGGGACGGCTAAATATACAGCCTTATCCTAGCGCTGTGCCCCACCAGGCTGGGGTCATGCTCTGGAGCAGTGTTTGGTCTGGTTCGGGGGGCAATATGCACCCTCTGTCTTCCAACCCATGCTGGTAGGGTCTGGCTGCATGGTGCTGACCCAGAAGTACCCTGGTTTTGTGATGTTTGCTGGTGCATCCCAACCCTGCATCTGCCTGGCCTTGCAGCAGGGTTGGGGTCACAACATGGAGATGCCACAGCCTCTGGGGGGAATGGATATGGAATGGGGGAATGGGAAGAGCACGACAAGCAGGGTGCCCCAAGGAGGATGGGATGTGCATCATCAGCATTGGGGGGGGTGCTGTGCTGGAAACGCCCCCCCCCCACTTAGGTCTAGTGATCCCTGAGGTGCCCTGTGCCTCATGTGCAAGGGTGCTGCAGGGACACATGGGTTTCAGCCTCTCTTGCACACCCTGCCTCTAGGTACGGCACCGCCAGTCGGGGCAGGTCATGGTGCTGAAGATGAACAAGCTGACCAGCAACAGGGGCAACATGCTGCGGGAGGTGCAGCTGATGAACCGCCTCTCGCACCCCAACATCCTCAGGTAGGACCTGTCGTCCCTGTGTCCCCTCTTCCCCAGCCTGAGGGATTTGGAGCTACTGCTGGCTCTGGATGAGCTCCTAGAGCTGGTCTTCACCATGGCTATGCTCAGGTCCCCTCTGCCTTGCAGGTTCATGGGGGTGTGCGTGCACCAAGGACAACTGCATGCGCTGACGGAGGTGAGAGCAGAGCGATGTCCGTGAGTCTTGGGGGTCCTGCAGGGTTGGGGAGGGGACAGTGATGTGGGAACACTTTCTCAGCCCATGGCATGCGTGTAGGGCAAAGTCTACTGCGGGGCAATGCTGTGGGGTGATTGGGAGGCATGTTGGGATGAGATGGGCGTCTGGTTATGGGTGGAAGGGGGGGCATAGAGGTGCAGTGGCCCGGCTCTTCCCATCAGTACATCAACGGTGGGAACCTGGAGCAGCTGCTGGACAGCCCCGTGCCCCTCTCCTGGTCCATGCGTGTCAAGCTGGCCCTCGACATCGCCCGTGGCCTGCGCTACCTGCACTCCAAGGGCATCTTCCACCGTGACCTCACCTCCAAGGTACAGCATGCTCCAAAGGCATCCCAATGTCCTCATCCCATACCCACATTGCTGGCTGTGCTGTGCTGGCTGCACCATCCCGGGAGCAGTGAGGATGGCGCAGTCAACGTGATGGGTCCTCCTGTGCCCCCAGAACTGCCTTGTGCGCTGCGAGGCCAATGGCTACACGGCAGTGGTGGGTGACTTCGGCTTGGCAGAGAAGATCCCCAACTACAGGTACGTGGGCAGTGTCCACCCATCTGTCCCCGTCATTATTGTGAGGAGTTCCCAGCCCACTTGCAGCAGCAGCTGGGGAGGGAGGGACATTTGGGATGCAGCTGGAAGGGCAGGGATGGGAGCAGTGGGGGTGTTCCCCAGTGGTGGGGATGTGTGGGGCCGATGGACATGTCTGGGGCTAGCTGTGAGGGGAATGGAGAGGGTGTGGGTATGGACAGACAAGTTTGTGGGCCCTTTAGGGAGGTTTAGCCCGGGGAGGGAGATGGAGGTGGTGGTTTGGGCTGTCCCAGTGGGAGGATGAGAGGGCGGACAGGGGGCTGCGGGTAGCCCCTGATGTCCCACCATGTCCCCCAGCGAAGGCAGCGAGAAGGAGCCGCTGGCTGTGGTGGGCTCCCCGTACTGGATGGCGCCTGAGGTGCTCCGAGGGGAGATCTACAACGAGAAGGTGAGGCTCCGTGCATGCCATGCCTGGGGCTTTATCCAGGCTTGTGCTGCCAGAGCTTTGCAGCTCTGGGTCTTCACAGAAGGAAAAACTGGGTGGTGGGGTGGCAGGGCCCTTGGTATGGCTCTGCAGGGAGGAGGGAAGCTGTGGGTTCGTGGAATGATGGGCCCATCTCATTGGGGTTGCAGAGCCCCCCATCACTCCCTTCTCTCTGCAGGCTGATGTGTTTGCGTACGGTATCATCCTGTGCGAGACCATCGCTCGTGTCCCTGCTGACCCCGACTACCTGCCCCGCACTGAGGTGACTCCCTGGGATGGCGGGGAACAGTGGTGGGCAGCAGCACCGGGACTGGGACTGCTTTACCAAATGAAGGGGACCATTCTGCTGTGCTGGGTAGAGCCCCGTGTGCAGGAGCTCCCTGCATCTCAGAGCAGGGGTGCTGTGTCCTGATTGCTGCCCAGGCAGGGATGCTCTCTGCCTATAACCTGTCCTCGGAGCCCATGGTCAGCCTGGGTGGGAGAAGGGGACACTATTGAAGCAGAGAGCCGTGCTGTGTCTCAGCATCCCCCAGCCTTGCCCCAACTTGGGGACCCTCCAGAGGGGTGTTGCCAGGTCCAGTCAATGCAGGGAGGGGGGGACCTGGACATCCCAGATCCCATGTGGTGTCCAGGGGACCCAGCCTCACTCCTCTTCTTTTCCCTGTCTCAGGATTTTGGTCTGGATGTCACCACCTTCCGCACCATGGTGGGCATCGACTGCCCGGCGGCCTTTCTCCAGCTCGCTTTCCACTGCTGCAGTGTGAGCCTCCCATCTCCCCTGCCCTTCCTTACCTTTGTGCATGGGGTGCGTGGGCTGCTGCAGATCTGACTGGGAACCCCTCATCCCCACAGATGGAGCCCACCTCCCGCCCCTCATTCCTGGAAATCACACAGTGCCTGGAGGGCATCCTGCATCACCAGCTGGGTGTTGAGGACACTGGGGACACCGTCTTCAGCATTGGGGAGAGCCTGCCCATGCCTGCGACAGCAGCCACACTTACTGGTAGGTGGGCACCCTGGGGACAGGCCATGGGGGTGTGCAAGGAGGGGGCATGTTCTTTACTGTGAGGGTAGTGAGGCACTGGAATGGGTTGCCCAAGGAAGCTGTAAATGCTCCATCCCTGGCAGTGTTCAAAGCCAGGCTGGACAGAGCCTTGGGTGACATGGTTTAGTGTGGGGTGTCCCTGCCCATGGCAGGGGGGGTGGAACTGGATGATCTTAAGGTCCCTTCCAACCCTAACTGTTCTCTGATTCTATGTGGGATGTCCCATCCTATCCCGGCAGCTGTAGGGGAAGGAGACCAGAATTGCATGAGTTCTGTACAGCGCAGCCTGTCACTTGGGGTGCACCTCTGTGTTGTTGGGTGCCCAGCACCCCATAGCACGCCACACCAGCCTCTGGTGACCCGCTCCCGTGCTCACATCCAGGGGTATCCAAGAGGGCAGCCAGCCACTCCGAGCAGTCACCCCTGCGCGAGCTGGGGACGCAGCACCTACAGCCGCAGGACCAGCGCCTGTCCCGCAGCCAGTCTGACGTGTTCCCCCCGAAATCACCCACCCTGCTGCAGCCGCTGGAGCCTTACAGCGGGGCCAGGACCAAGGAGACGTCCCCCCGCATCAACCCCTTCTCCCAGCGCGAGGACCTCAAGGGGGGCAAGATCAAGCTCTTCGACACGCCGAGCAAGTCTGTCATCTCCCTCACGTTCGACCTGCCCCCCCCTGCACCGCTGCAGCTCAGCACCCCCGTGACCCCCGAGCCCGCCGTGGAGGTGCAGTGTGACTTCTCGGCCCCCACCGCTGCCCCCCGCAAGTGCCACTCGCTGCCCACCTCCCCCGAGCTGCCCCGCAGGGGGGGGCTGGAGCTGGAGATGGGGTCCCCCCACCCCACTGGTGACCTCCAGCCCCCAGCTCTCCTTCCACCTCCAGCTCGGGGACGATCGTCTCCCCCCAGCGCCAGGCCATTGGAGCGGATGGACTGCAGCCCCGACAGCCCTCACCCCCCGCCGCTCCCCGTGTTACCCCCTAACAACAACTTCATCCGCACGGCATCCTCGGGAGCCCGGCTCTGGCAGCCGGAGCCACGGGCCCCCGACAGGCTCCTCTTCAACAACAACCACGTGGTGATCAGTAAACCCCTTGCATGGGGCAGTGAGTTGGAGCACGGCTTCTCCGAGCTCAGCATCCCCTGTGCGGCGGCGATGGAGAGGACGGACCGTGCGGCCATACTGCCTGGGCACGGCTCCGGTGCTGTGCTGGAGCAGGATGAGGTGCTGCCTTGTCCTGGGTGCTGCCTGACACTCTTCAGCTTCAGCTTCCTCTCTGTCTGCCACCGGCCGGCACCCAGCCCACCCCACTACCAGAACCTCAACTGTGAGTCCAAGAGCCTCTTCTGCCACCAGAAAGCCGCAGGGCCGGTGCTGGCGGAGCCCAGTCTGAAGCTGCCAGAGGCATAGACCTAGTACCGGGGTTCCCGGGGAGCGGGGCTGCGTCCGGCTGCCCCACAGATCCCTTGGCACAGGAGCCTGCTGTGTCCCCATGGTCTGCCCTCACTGGCTCAGTGCTTGGTGGCCACCAGTGGCTGCAGTGCCCCATGCCATGGCTACTCTGGTGCCACTGAGGAGCTCGGGCACCCATCCCACCTGGATGGTTCTCGGGGGTCTATGGGGAGCTGTGGGGTGGGCTGGGTCCCTGCTGGGGACTGAAGTGCAATAACACCCCCAGCCCTGAGCGTGCTCCAGCACTGTGTGGGTGGCAGGGCTGGTGCCCCGTGGGGCTCAAACCCTGTGTGCAGGACCCCCCCTTCCCCAAGGGCTCACCCCTCTGCGGGCTCTTGTGGAGGGGTGCACAGCAAGCCTGCTCCCCTGGGAGAACTGGGAGCTCCTGTACCCAGGGGGGGTGAGCAGGGCTGGGGGAAGAGGGGTCGGGGTGTGTATGTGTGTGTGTGTTGGGGGACCTTGTGGGGCTGGGGGATGTCCCCATGCTTCCCTACAAGTGTGGGGAGCACAGCCGCCCCCTGACACAGGGAGAGGCTAGCAGGAGAGGGGCAACGCACATGGAGCAGTGCACGGGGATGATTTGCCAGCACTGGGGTTGCCCCTGCCTGCCCTATGCTGGGGTTGGGTGCTGAGCCAGCACAGCACCCACTGTCCCCCCAGCACATAGGGTTGGGAGCAGGGTGCTGGCAGAGGGGGGAAGGAGCTGCCCAGCCCCTGGCAAGGGTGGGAGCCAGCTTTCCTTCCTCCCGCACAATGCACTGGTGAATGCTGAACTCGTGGGTTTTATTACTATTAATAATAATAATAATTGCTAGTAATATATACCCGGCTTATTTAAAGTGTTCAATAAAAAAAATGAATGTCCTAGAAACTCTGGCTCCTGTCTCTTTCCTGTATGTCTGATGCAGCCCTGAGAGTTTGCACAGGCTTGGCTGGGGCTTCTGGGGAGCCTCCTGGGGACCACAAATCAGCCTGGCTCAGGCCAAGATCTCAGTATCCCCAAAGTGGCCATCTGGGTTGAAATGGCTTTGAGTCCCCTTTATTATTTAGGTTCTTTGGGTTCATGCCACTGAGTCTATGTTTGTGGTGGTGCACAAGAAAGCAAAGAGCAGACAAGCCCCATCTCTTTATTGCTACAATTGGGTTCAGCCAGCGGACAAGACAGAGGAGTGACACGTGCCACCTCCAAAATGCCTGCCTTTAACACCCAAGCAAGCAAGCTAATTCACATAGCAATTAATCAACTATATATGGCACTCATGAGCCCATAATAAACTGAGGACATTTTCGCCTGGTTGAACATGACTTCCTGTGCTCTCGCCTGGTGGTGATGTTACATCAGGGCTATTTTGCTTAATCTTCGCATGTGCATGTGTGTAGTGACTATTTAAAGTCCTGATACCTTCCTTGTCTTGCACGTCGGTCGAGCGCAAGTGCCAGAGTTGCTTTTAGGAGGCACCATCACATCGTGCAATCGTAAAGGTCATTCCTCTAATTTCTAATTAGCAAAAACCCAACAGCCAGCGCAGTTGAGGTGCAGCTTCCCTCCTTGGGCGCTGAGGATGCTGCTTCCTCAGTTCTGTGAAAGCCATGGCCAAGCTGCCCCTGTGATGGGGCCAGGCTGGAGGTCCCTGCAGTGGGGAGAGGACCCGTCCTGATGTGGGGCTGTGCTGTTCCCCAATCCCATGTCCTGATGTGCCAGCACCACAGCTCTCTCTGTGCTGGGGGTGTTGCAGTGCTGAGTGTCATCAGCTCTTGCTCCACTCTGGACTCATCATACACCAGCCCGTGTGCTCCGAAAGACCTAGTGTTCCTCATGCAGGTGTGGGGCTGGGCTGTAGGGCCCATACTGCTCTGCTAAAGCACATCAGCCAGGGGCAAATGGCCACTGCTGCCGCCTCCCCAGCCCGTGTGGTGCTGGAGCATCACTGGGGAGCACTGGGAAAGACCTGGGTAGGGGTATGTAAGAGGGAAGCAGGTTGCTCGCATGGATGGGACATCCCAGGAAGGGGTGCAGTGAGGCTGAAGCAAAGGCTGTTGTGGGGTGCAGGTGCTGGAAGGGAAGGCAGAGGGTGAGATGCATGCAGCAGGGCTGGGAAAGCAGCCTGCAAAGGGGTTTCCCCCATCTTGCCCCTTTTGCTGCACCACACTTGCTGGGGTCCCCTGAGCTACCACAGTTCAAAGGCTCCCATGGCAACAAAGGGATGGAGGTAGGCTCTGTCTGGCCTGCATCCCTTTCCATCGGATAGAGTCAACATGGCAGGCTCCCCACTTTTTCCCATACTCCCCCCCGTGTGCCCCATGCCCCTCAGGCTCGACAGAGCCTGTCTTGGGCACACTACACTCACCACAGTGGTGCTGGGCCAGCAGCCATCATCCCATGAAAGGGTTGCTTGGCCCCGCTGCCTTCTCACAGATCCAGAGGTGCAGGTCATCGGGACCAGCGCACTGAGCAGGTTTGATGTTCCCACGGCTTATTATGGCACAGGACCCATTTGACTTCGACTGCCACGGCCTGGATGGGGAAACAGCACATCAGGGGGCTGCCCTATGCACCACCCTCTGCCGAGGCTGCCTCTTATGCCCTCACAGAGGAGGGGTTGAATGCTGCGGTCAAAGGGGGGATCCCCCAGCCCTCCCCTACTCATTTCACAGCTGAACCCTCAGCAGATGCATCCCTGCCCTTCCCTGGGCGGCTGAGAAACCTTGGTCCTGGTCCTCCCTGAGGGCACGTGGATGTCAAGAGGAGCTGCCCAGGGCTGTGGGGCTACAGTGGGGTGCAGACCTCACTGTGAGGATGTGGATGGAGGGGCACGGGCTGTGTACCCAGATGGGTCTGTTCTTCCCCACTGCTCTCAGACATTGCAAGAGGAAGCGGTGGTGAGCTGCGAAAGGGGTGCACGTGGCAGGGAGCCATTGATTTTCCCTCCAGGTTGGAGCAGGGAAGCACACAGGGAATAGAGGTGGTGCTGGAACCGTTTGTCCAGACCTCACATAAAACTGGCGGTTTCTTTGCCCCCTCTCGCTGCCTCCTGCTGGCACATACCCTGCACATGTCCTTCCAAGTCTTGGCTTTCCATTTGCACCTCCTCTAAGCATCTCATCACACCACTATGCCCACCTACCCTTGGCCTCAACTGCTTTGATGCTCTTTGTGCTTGTGCCTGGGGCTGGTTACCAGTGAGATTCAGAATATTTTCTAAAGCTACGATGGAGGAGAGGGGTTTTGACAAGAGGCTGTGCTGCCGGTACCTTTCATAAACGGAGCCATCCACCCAGAACCAGGCATCCGAGACCCCCTTTTCATCGGGGTCCCCTTCCTCCAGCCAGCCGTAGTCATACCAGGGGAAGATGGTCTTCTGTAGCCCAATCCAGTACGGGATGTCTGCGTTCTTCAGGAAGGTCTGGGGAAGAAGAAAAAGGGCCTTTTAGTGCCTTTGTATTGTGGGGTTTGCAGGGGCTGGTGATCTCCCCAGGAAGCCCCTGGGGCTGAGACAGGACAGATGGGCAGCCCTGGTGCTTTGCTCCAGTTTGGGTTCTGTCCCAGTGTGTCAGAGCCTCTGTACCCCATGTCCGCCACCTGCTATGTGCTGCAGAGATCAGCCTTGCACCCTCCAGTGTCTTGGCAGGCCAGGGGCAGTGCTGGCTCAGCTGAGGACCCCAGGGCTGGATGCTCTCAGCTTCCACAGCATCCTACCGGCACAGTCCAGCGACTCCAGGATTTGGTGATCAGGAGCTGAGAATATTTCTTCTCACACTCATCTCTGCTGTCCTCCCATGTCTTCTTCTCTGACGAGATGAAGAGGCACTTGCCCCTGTACAGCAGCCAGCCCAAAGGGCAGCAATCTGGGGGCAAGGGCACCGCTCAGGTGCTTGCTCAGCCACAGATGCCTTGCATGAGGACCACGAACAGCCCCACATCACCCCAGCAGACATCACAGGCTCAGTGTCTCATCCAGACAGCTTTAGACTGCCAAGTTCCCACCACGTGGACAAAAGAGCCAGTGGGGTGCCAGTGCCCTGACACCCCTTGTGCCCATCCACCACCAACCCACCTATGGCCGTGCAGGCGCGCAGGCTGGCCACGGTGCTCTGGCTGCTGTTGAGCTCTCCCTGCAGGCGCTGCACATCCCTGTGCAGCTCGGCCAGCTCCTGCCTGGCGCGCCCCAGCTCCGTGTCCCGCAGCTCCAGCTCCGCTCGGCTCCTGTTGCCGTCCCACCACGCACGCCCCAGCTCCCCTCTGGCCCTCACCAGCTCCAGCCGCGTCTGCTCCAGGCGCTGCTCCTGGGCGCTCAGCTCCTGCTCCAGGCGGCCCTGCTCGGCCGCGTGCTCCCGGGAGGCGTCCCGCAGGCTGCGGGTGACCTGCCAGTCTGGGCACAGGCACAGGGATGGGCAATGGGAAGGAAGCGGGAGGCAGTGAGAGGCAATGAGAAGGCAGTTGTAGTGAATGGAAGGCAATGGAAAGGCAGTTGTAGTGAATGGAAGGCAACAGGAAGGCAGCGGAAGGCAAGAGGAGACATCAAGAAGGCACTGGGAGGCAATGGGAAGGCAGTCGTAGTGAATGGAAGGCAATGGAAAGGCAGCGGGAGGCACTAGAAGCATCGGGAAGGCATTGGGAGGCAGTGAGAGGCAATGGGGAGGCAGTTGTAGTAAATGGAAGGCAATGGGAAGGGAGTGGGAGGCAAGGGGAGGGAGTGGGATAGCCCAAGCAGGGGGATGTGGAATTGATCCTACTTGAGAAGCAGGGTGGGCAAGGCATGGCAAGGCAGGGACATGACTATCCCAAAGGATGGGAAAGACACGGCAGGGAACTGCTCAGGACCTGGCAGGGGAGATCAGGTCAAGGCAGGACAGGGGGTAGGAGCAAACAGAGCAGGGCAGGCGCAGGGAGGATGCAGCAATAGGAGGCTGACCAGTGTCTGGAAGGGAAGGGCAATGAGCAGAAATGGAGAGCAAGGTGCAGAAGATGAGTGACAGAAGGCAAGCTGGACACACATGGTGTGTGAGGGATACAGGCCAGTTTGTGGCACAGCACAGTGACCCAGCCATGAGGAGTGTGCCTGGGCATGCTTCTATCACACCCCTGCTCACCCACAGCAGCATCCCTCTACCCATGCTGCCCAGCCACCCCAGCCCCACAACAGCTCCCCCCTAGACTCACAGCAAACCCCCAGTGCCACGGTGGCCACCAGCAGCAGCAGGCAGGTTGTCATCAGCCCTGCAGGGAGACACCACCGACAGGACCAGTGCCCTGCAAGACACCGCAGACCACAGCAGGCATCACTTGGTGAGCCAGGAAAGCTCCGTCAGCCCACAGACCCACTGCATGGTGACACCAGTGCCATGGTGTGGGTGCTTCCTCTCTTCAAGAATGGGAACAGGAACACCCCAAAACACCTCCCATACCCCGTGCCAGCATCTCCTGGGCTCCAGCCATGCACTCACCTGTGCTGGGCTGGTCCTCAGACTCATCCTGTGCCACCGGCGCTGTCTGCGTGTTCTCGTAGGGGCTCTCTGCCTCATCTATGCCGAGGACTGTTGGAGGAAGGGAGAGAGGCTGAATCCACAGGGACGGACATGGCAGGGCAGCATGGGGATCCCATGGCCTCTCACCTGCCTCCAGCACCTGGCTGGCCATGCTCTGGCCCCCCACCACTTTGGCAAACCTCAGGTCAGCATAAACCATGCTCTGGGACATGTGGGTAAGCCCTGAGCCCTGCTGGCTCCCACCCTGCCCTTGGGATGCCTTCGTGTGGTGGTCCTGCTCCTCGGTGGTTGCACCGTCCCGCAGGGGTGCAAAGGAGAAGTGTGGGCAGCACCTGCAGAAGCAGAAGTTTGCTCTGAGCTGCAGCAGACGGAACCAGCGAGGCACGGCTGTGGGGACCAGCACCCTCCCATTGGTCCAAGCACCACTGGCCCATCCCCTCCCACACCCCAAAAGTGCTCACGGCCTCCACAAGCACATGGCAGGGTCAGGGCAGCACGACCTCAGGTCAGGGCAGTGGTAGAGTAAGGGTAGACTCAAATCCCTGGGCCATGGGAGAGCTGGGGACCAGCCTGGGCACAGTACCACACTGAGCCTGGGACAGCCCTGTGGAGGGATGGAGGTCTTCATGGATGCTGATGTCCCCTTCTGGCCTCTAGGAATGGGAATTTCCCTGTGATGTAGCTTGTAGAGCTGCCTCTTGTCCTGTCCCTGATCCCCTCCTAGAAGAACTTGGCTTCATAGAATCATAGAATCAGAATGGTTTGGGTTGGAAAGGACCTTAAGATCATCCAGTTCCAAACCCCTGCCATGGGCAAGGACACCTCACCCTAGACCACATCACCCAAGTCTCTGTCGAACCTGGCCTCAAACACTGCCAGTAATGGAGCATTTATCACTTCTTTGGGCAGTCTGTTCCAGTGCCTTACCACACTCACAATAAAGAACTTCTTCCTTCATCAGCATCACCTCAGACCCTCCCAGGAAGATGCACAGAGCAACAACAACAGCTTTGCCTTCCCATCCCCAGACGCAACCCCAGCACTCACAGCATCTCCTCCTTGGCCCCATCCTCCAGCCCCTCAGCACCTCTGAGGTCTCTGCTGAACTGCATCCAGAGAAAGGCAGGTTTCAGAAAGGGCACTGAGGTGGGGAACAGCTGGGCACATCTGGACGCAGCCAGTTCCTGGGACAATGGAGCAGTGCAGAAGTGTTGTTGTGTTGCAAGGCTGTGCTCTCCATTATCTCTGCAAGAACAGGAGAAGTCCTTCATCACTGGAGAAAGTTAAAAATCATGGCCAGCTTTGAAGAGGACGGAAAGAGGTTTGCAAAGCCAAACACTGAGCAGCTTCCACCCGATACCCAGGAAGAAGATGGAGTATATGCTCCAAGGGAACATAGTAGTAAAGACCTGAGGAGAACATGGCTGAGGATGGGGGAAGCTCAGCAGGATTTACCAAGTGCAAATGGCATCTACCTGCCTGCTGCTGTCAGAGCACCGGGCTGAAGACTGTTTACCATGACCCATTGATGTCTGGGACATGGCTTCCCCTGTGGTCCATGCTGCTTGCTGGAAGAATGCGAAAGATGTGGCCAGGGAAAGGAGAGAAGAGCAAGAGTTCACGCTGCAATGTGGAAACCCTTTTAGGCATCAGGCAAACATTTATGCACAACAGTGACACGTTGTTGTGGTTTAAACCCAGTCAGGTAATTCGTTCACTCACTTCCCCCCCTTTCTTGCCCTCCCCCTGCTCCCAGAGGGACAGAGAGGAGAATCGAAAAGAATGCAACTCCCACGGGTTGAGATAAGAACAGTTTAGTAACTAAGGTATAACACAAATCACTACTGCTACCACCAATGATAATAATGATAAAGGAAATAACAAGGGAACAGAATACAACACCTCAGCACCAGCTGACCGATAACTCGCCCCCCTCAGCCCGACCAAGCACCGACCGATACCTCCTCCAACCCTGCAGTCTCCCAGCCCTTCTGGCTAACTCCCAGTTACATCCTGGGCATGACGTGCTGTGGTATGGAATACCTCTTTGGTCAGTTTGGGTCAGGTGTCCTGTCTCTGCTTCCTCTCAGCTTCCCCTCCTCCCTGGCAGAGCATGAGGCTCACAAAGTCCTTGGCCAAACCAAAACATCTCTATCAGCTCTGTTCCCGAGCTGAAAGTCAAAACACTGCACTGCACCAGCTACCAAGGAGGAGAAACATGACTGCTACTGCTGAACCCAGGACATTATCCACCCCTTATTCCATACCATTCACGTCATGCTCAGATCCCACATTTTCAATATACCATCACTCTTATCTCAGTGCACTCTTATCTTAGTGCATGGACCAGTCCCTATAAAGCTGCTGCGTCCATCTGGTCCATGTCAGGCTCCATCTCTTGTAACAGTCTTCCAGAGCAGGAGAGACTGTGTGCAGTGTTCACACTCGTGAATAACCTGGGCAATAGTGTCCATTGTTAAGTCCACCCCTCGATCATGAGTCCATCTCTGTGTTGCACCTCTGCTCTGATGGCCTGAAGTGCCATGGGCCCACCAGGCTTAAAATAATTCACTGTCCCCTTAAGCAGTTTCTGCAGCTTGTTGCTGGGGACTCCATACAGCTGCCTTCCATCTCCGATGCTTCCAAAGCACTGGGGGGGCCCAGTGGACTAGATACTTGCCCATACTGTCCCACATGCTCTGCCACTCATGACTCTCCAGCCTTGGGGAAAACCTCTTGGTCCCCCTATATTGTCGTCTAATCCCAGACAAGACCCAAACCTGACTCTGCTTAACTTTTGAGATCAGACAAAATGGCTGTGGGTAGAACACAGTCTGTGTGTGTGCCAACATGCTGATCCCCATCACAGTCAGCAGGCAGGTCCCAAGGATACCCAAAGGCCATTCAGTGCCTTCAGAACTCTCAGTTGATGCTGCTGTACTTGTCACTGGGGCTGGTGTAGCTGCTGTGCTTGCCGGCTCTCCCACCGCCGGCTTCTCTTTTCCTGAGTCCAGCTCTTCCTCCTCTGCCTTGCTGGGAAATGCTGCGTGGTCTCCTGCATCCTCCTGGGGCTCGGCGGGTGGCTTCCGGGGAATGCTCTCGGCCGTCGCGGGGCTCGGCTCTTCCGCGGGGCTCGGCTCCTCCGCGGGGCTGGGCTCCTCCGCGGGGCTCGGCTCCTCCGCCGCCTTCTCCCGCTGCTCGGCAGCCGCCTCCTTCCTCTCCTCGACCGCCCCGACCTCCTCCACCGGCAGCCGTCCCCTGGCGGCCTCCGGCCCCGCTCCCGCCGCCGCTTGGTCCCCGGGGCCGCTCTCCCGGGCCGCTTCAGCAGCCGCCGGCTCCCGGGACCGCTCCCTCTCGGCTCCCCGCAGCCTCACGAAGATGGAGAGTAGGGTGAGGGCCAGGGCGGTGAAGAGCAGCCGGACGGCCAGGTACAAGTCCACGGCCACGTCCGTCCCGCCCTGCTGCTGGAGCCCGCCCGTATTACAAGCCATTGCCATAAAGCACAGCGAGACAAGAACCTTAGCCCAGGCCCCACACTTGATAAACACTAACACAGCGAATACCGGCTCTAAGTAAGTTACAACTGTCTGAAGCTGTGAGATCAACAAGAACAACTTTGAGAGCCAATAAATCAGCATTGTGACGAGTGACTATTAATCCAGTCAGATCTGTCGTTATCTCAACCCTTCGTGCCCCACGTTGGGCGCCAAAAAGAACTGTCGTGGTTTAAACCCAGTCAGGTAACTCGTTCACTCACTTTCCCCCCTTTCTTACCCTCCCCCTGCTCCCGGAGGGACGGAGAGGAGAATCGAAAAGAATGCAACTCCCACGAGTTGAGATAAGAACAGTTTAGTAACTAAGGTATAACACAAATCACTACTGCTACCACCAATGATAATAATGATAAAGGAAATAACAAGGGAACAGAATACAACACCTCAGCACCAGCCGACCGATAACTTGCCCCCCCCAGCCCTGACCAAGCACCGACCGATACCTCCTCCAACCCTGCAGTCTCCCAGCCCTTCCGGCTAACTCCCAGTTACATCCTGGGCATGACGTGCTGTGGTATGGAATACCTCTTTGGTCAGTTTGGGTCAGGTGTCCTGTCTCTGCTTCCTCCCAGCTTCCCCTCCTCCCTGGCAGAGCATGAGGCTCACAAAGTCCTTGGCCAAACCAAAACATCGCTACCAGCTCTGTTCCCAAGCCGAAAGTCAAAACACTGCACTGCACCAGCTACCAAGGAGGAGAAACATGACTGCTACTGCTGAACCCAGGACACACGTAAACCCCGGAGCAGAATATAGAGAGGGAAAAACACTGTCCTGGAGGGGGCCAGCACCATGTGGAAGCAGGATCTCAGGTTGACTCTCAGTAAGCTGACCCTGGCAGCCCTCCCCAGCACCCCAAACCCAAGCGCAGCACAGTGCAGCCATCCCTGGGGACCCTGAGCAGACTCAGGGTGTGGAAGGGGACAGGATGGTGATGTCAGGGCCAATGGTACGGCACAGGCCCTGAGGTTGGGATTTCCTGCTGCACCTCAGAGCAAACTTACACTTCCGCAGAAACCAGCTGCACTTCTCTCTTACACCCCTGAGAGACCAGGAGCCGCCAGAGCCATCGCGGCAGCAGAGAGCATGGCCCAGAGCGTGGTCTACGCCGACCTGAAGTTCGCAGCATCCCCGCCGCTGGCCGTGCCCTCCTGCCCCGCAGCCCCCGACGAGGACGACAGCCCCTACGAGAACGTGCTGCTGGGGACGGTGCCTGCAGAGCAGAGCCCAGGTCAGAGCCCGGCCACCGACACGAGGATGCTGAGGCGCAGGGTGGGCAGCGGGGGGCGGCAGTGGGACCATGGGTGATGCTGTGCTCACAGCTCAGCTCATCTCATGTCACCTCTTGTAGGGCGATGGCCCCGGCGCTGGCGTGTCCCCATGGGGCCGCTGGCCACCAGCCTGCTGGTGCTGCTGGTGCTGTTGGTGGTGGGCACTGTGGCCCTGGGGACCTGCTGTGAGTCTGGGTGAGGGCTGTGGGGTGGGGGGAGATGAAGGGGAGGATCAGGACTGGGTTTGGGGTTGGTGGGGGGTGTCAGGGCTGAGGGGCGCTGGGGCTGGTGATCCAAGGCTGGCGTTGTTTTTGGCTTGGCCACCCTGAACTTCCTTATCTGCCTGCATTGTTTTCGCCTTGCCTACCACTGCTTCTCACTGCCTATCATAGAATCACAGAATGGTTTGGGTCACAAAGGACATTAACATCACTCAGCTCCGACCCCTGCCTTGCCCAAGACCATGTCACCCAAGGCTCTGTCCAACCTGGCCATGAACACTGTCAGGGATGAACCATTTCCCAGTTCTCTGGGAAACCACTTCCAGCACCCTCACCTCTTCCCACTGCCTTCCCACTGCTTCCCAGTGACTCCCATGGCAACAAATTGCCTTGCAATGCCCCCTGCTGCATCCCATTCCATTCCAATTGCTTGCAACTTTCTTCCCACTGCTTTCTCATCACGTACCCGCTCCCTTCCCATTGCCTCCCACTGCCTCCCACTGCATTCCCAGTTCTTTGCCATTGCTTCCAATTTGCTTCCCACTCTCTTCTCATTGCCTTCCCATTGCTTCGCAATGGCTCCCACCGCCACTCATTGCCTCCCTTCCACTTACCACCATAGACCCTTCCCTTCCCTTCCCGCTGGCACCCCAGGACAGTCTCTGCCCACATCCCGACACTCTCATCCCATGTCCCTCGCCATGGCCGTGGGCGCACGGGTCGGTCGCTGCTGCCCGTGCCCGGGCTGTGCCAGCGCCGTGCCCATCCCTGTGCCTGTGCCCAGACTGGCAGGTCACCCGCAGCCTGCGGGACGCCTCCCGGGAGCACGCGGCCGAGCAGGGCCGCCTGGAGCAGGAGCTGAGCGCCCGGGAGCAGCGCCTGGAGCAGACGCGGCTGGAGCTGGTGAGGGCCAGAGCGGAGCTGGGGCGTGCGTGGTGGGACGGCAACAGGAGCCGAGCGGAGCTGGAGCTGCGGGACGCGGAGCTGGGGCGCGCCAGGCAGGAGCTGGCCGAGCTGCACAGGGATGTGCAGCGCCTGCAGGGAGAGCTCAACAGCAGCCAGAGCACCGTGGCCAGCCTGCGCGCCTGCCTGAACACAGGTAGGGCCGTGCTGGGCTGCGGGACGGGCAGGGATGCTGCCGGGGAGACGAGGGGCTGATCCCGGCCAGGACGGGCCCCCCGAGCATCCTTGTGACGGCGAGCGCCTGAGCCGTGCCCCTGTCCCCAGAGTGCTGCCCCTCGGGCTGGGTGCTCTACAGGGGCAAGTGCCTCTTCATCTCCGTGGAGAGCAAGACGTGGAGGGACAGCCGTCAGTACTGCCAAAGGATGTCTGCTCAGCTGCTGGTCCAAGGCGACTGGCCAGCGTGGACAACGCCGGTACAGAGCAGAGGGGCTGCAGCACCCCAGGGCTGGGGGCAATGCTGGGGCGGGCAGATCCAGCAGCAGCAGCGCTGCGGAGGTGCTGGGGGCCACCACCAGACCTGGGGCTCTCGGGCACCCAGTGGGCTCTGGGCAAGGGCAGCCGGTCAACAGCTTCTCTCCCCCCAACTCTTTGAGCAGGGGAATGGCGCCGTGTACTGGGTCGGGGAGAGATACAAAAGTCATCTCGATTCACGTGAGGACAAGTATGGATGGCAATATAAAGAGTAAGTTGTTCCATCTCGGCCACCTGCATCTCTCGCAGCTTCACCAGCCACGGGGAAATGCGGTGGGCACTGCCCTGGCGTCTGTCCTTGACATGTGACTGATGCTTGAACGAGGGCAGTGGCCGGATCCTCCTGGCCAGGCTAAGGGACCCTGAGGCTGCAGCTGTGTGGGGTACAGCATGGTGGCAGCAGGCTGAGAGCATGGTGATGGCACCTCTCACGTGCGCCCTCCCTTCTTGCAACAGAAGTTGGACCTGTCCAGGAATATCCTATGGTAAGATGGAAAGACTCGAATGCTCGAGAATACTGCCATGGATCTGTGAGAAGCTGCCAGATGTGAGGAGCACGTTCAAGACCGTCCCTCCTCTCCCCGCCAAGTGGTAACTCTGGAACACCATCTCCACCATACATCTGAGTGATTGGAGCTCAGGGTGCACAGCAGAGACACCTTTTCCCTCCTGCACAGCCACATCCCTGTGTACTGTTGTCTCCAAAGCTATTGCACTGCAAAGCTATTTTAAAGGTATACGGATTCATAGAATCATAGAATGGTTTGGGTTGGAAAGCACCTTAAGATCATCCAGTTGCAACCGTCTGCCATGGGCAGGGTCACTTCACCCTAGACCTTGTTGCCCAAGGCTCTGTCCAACCTGGCCTTGAACACTGCCAGGGATGGAGCATTCACAACTTCCTGGGGCAAACCATTCCAGTGCCTCACCACCCTTACTACAGTAAAGAACTTCCTTGTGCCTAACCTGACCTTCTCCTGTTTCACTTTTAACCCATTACCCCTTGTCCTATCACTACAGTCCCTAATGAGGAGGCCCTCTCCAGCATCCCTATAGGCCCCCTTCAGATACTGGAAGGCTGCTATGAGGTCTCCACGCAGCTTCTCTTCTCCAGGCTGAGCAGCCCCAACTTGCTCAGCCTGTCTTCATATGGGAGGTGCTCCAGTCCCCTGATCATCCTCGTGGCCTCCTCTGGACTTGTTCCAACAGTTCCATGTTCTTTTTATGTTGAGGACACCAGAACTGCACACAATACTCCAGGTGAGGTCTCACAAGAGCAGAGTAGAGGGGCAGGATCACCTCCTTTGACCTGCTGGTCACGCTCCTTTTGATGCAGCCCAGGATACGGTTGATTTCTGGGCTGCGAGCGCACACTGAAGCCGGCTCATGTTCATTTTCTCAAGGATCAGCACCCCCAAGTCCTCCTCCCCAGGGCTGCTCTGAATCTCTTCTCTGCCCAACCTGTAGCCCTGCTTGGGATTGTTCCAACCCAGGTGTAGGACCTTGCACTTGGCATGGTTAAACTTCATAAGGTTGGCATCAGCCCACCTCACAAGCGTGTCGAGGTCCCTCTGGATGGCATTCCTTCCCTCCAGGGTATCAACCGAACCACACAGCTTGGTGTCATCGGCAAACTTGCTGAGGGCGCACTCAATCCCACTGTCCATGTCAGCGACAAAGATGTTGAACAAGACCGGTCCCAACACTGATCCCCCAGGGACACCACTCGTTACTGGTCTCCAGCCGGACATTGAGCCACTGACCACAACTCTTTGTGTGCGGCCATCCAGCCAGTTCTTTATCCACCGAGTGGTCCATCCATCAAATTGATGTCTCTCCAATTTAGAGACAAGGATGTTGTGTGGGACAGTGTCGAACGCTTTACACAAGTCCAGGTAGATGACATCAACTGCTCTACCCCTGTCCATCAGTTCTGTAGCCCCATCATAGAAGGCCATCAAATTGGTCAGGCAGGATTTCCCCTTAGTGAAGCCCTGCTGCTGGCTGTCACCAAGCACCTTGTTGTTTTTCATGTGCCTTAGCATGCCTTCCAGGAGAATCTGCTCCAGGATTTTGCCAGGCACAGAGGTGAGACTGACTGGTCTGTAATTCCCCGGGTCATCCCTTTTCCCCTTCTTGAATATGGGAGTTATATTTCCCACTTTCCAGTCATCAGGAACTTCACCTGACTGCCATTTTTTTTTTTCAAATATGATGGCCAGTGGCTTAGCAACTTCATTTGTCAGCTGTTGCATTCCTCAGGGTCCTTCAGGACCCACAGATGGGTTTGACTGCAGTCACTGCAGAATGCCTCCAAGCGGGAGATGGGAAGGTGCTGCATGGGGCCGCGCGGCCCTGGAGTGCCCAGCAGACACCGGCTCCTGGGGCTCCTCACAGCCTGTGGGGACATGGGGACAGAGTGCGCTGCCTGGGAGGAGCTGGTTCAGCCCCACGCACTGCACAGCAAGAGCAGCCTCAGGAAAAAAAAACATTTGCAAATAAAAACGCTTCTGCTTTTCTGATCAAGAGGTGTCTCCACCCCACGGGGGTTTGGCCAGGGCAAGGCAGCAGCGAGCCCTCACTCTGCTGCTGCCTGGGGCGCCTGCAAGCATGGCCCAGAGCGTGGTCTACGCCGACCTGAAGTTCGCAGCATCCCCGCCGCTGGCCGTGCCCTCCTGCCCCGCAGCCCCCGATGAGGACGACAGCCCCTACGAGAACGTGCTGCTGGGGACGGTGCCTGCAGAGCAGAGCCCAGGTCAGAGCCCGGCCACCGACACGAGGATGCTGAGGCGCAGGGTGGGCAGCGGGGGGCGGCAGTGGGACCATGGGTGATGCTGTGCTCACAGCTCAGCTCATCTCATGTCACCTCTTGTAGGGCGATGGCCCCGGCGCTGGCGTGTCCCCATGGGGCCGCTGGCCACCAGCCTGCTGGTGCTGCTGGTGCTGTTGGTGGTGGGCACCGTGGCCCTGGGGACCTGCTGTGAGTCTGGGTGAGGGCTGTGGGGTGGGGGGTGAAGGGTAGCACCGGGAGTGGGTTTGAGGCTGGACAAGGTCTGGGATGCTGGGAGGTGTCGGGGCTGAGGGGTGCTAGGGCTGGTGATCCGAGGCTGGCATCGCTTTTGGCTTGGCCACCCTGATCTTCCTGTCTGCTTGCATTGCTTTCCCCTTGCCTACCACTGCTTCTCACTACCTATCGTAGAATCACAGCACCATAGAATGGATTGGGTAAGAAAGGACCTTAACATCACTCAGCTCCAACCCCTGCTTCACCGTAGAACATGTTGCCGAAGGCTCTGTCCAACCTGGCCTTGAACACTTCTAGGGATGAAGGATTTCCCAGTGCTTTGGGCAATCTGTTCCAGCACCCTCACCGCTTCCCACTGCCTTCCCATTGCCTCTTAATGACTCTCAGTGCCACAAATTGCCTCCCACTGCCTTCCCACTTCCTTCCAATGCCTCCCACTGCTTCCCATTCCATTCTGATTGCTTCCAGCATGCTTCCCACAGCCTTCTCATTGCCTACACATTCCCTTTCCTTTGCCTCCTACTGCCTTCCCAGTCCTTTCCTGTTGCTTCCAACTTCCTTCCCACTGCCTTCTCTTTGCTTTTCCATTGCCTTTATATTGCCTTCCATTGCCTTCCTTTTACCTCCTATTGCCTCCAAACGCCTTCCCATTGGCTCCCACCGGCACCCAAAAGCCTTCCACTTACCACCATAGACCCTTCCCTTCCCTTCTCTTCCCGCTGGCACCCCAGGACAGTCTCTGCCCACATCCCGACACTCTCATCCCATGTCCCTCGCCATGGCCGTGGGCGCACGGGTCGGTCGCTGCTGCCCGTGCCCGGGCTGTGCCAGCGCCGTGCCCATCCCTGTGCCTGTGCCCAGACTGGCAGGTCACCCGCAGCCTGCGGGACGCCTCCCGGGAGCACGCGATGGGTAGACGTGCTGGGCACTGCCCTGGCATCCATCCTGTCTCTGGGATTGGGTTGTTGTGCCATTTTCTTCTGATGTGTAGAGCACTGTTGTATGGCAGGACAGCCAACAGCTCTACTTGTAGGTGCAGTCCTTGACACCAACATCTGCCCTTTAGCCATAGACAGAAGTTGCCATTTCACCTGCAGTGGGGAGATGCTCCAACAAGTGGTTCCCCAAGGCAGGGTCCCTGTCAGAGCCCTGCTCCCACATTGTGCACTGCCAGATCTTCAAGTGACGCAGCAGGAGGCTGGGAGGAAGGAATATGGCCCTTCCTCAGACTCTCCTGCCTGCCCCAATGGCACCGGGAAGAGGCATCCACAGTGAGGATACTGCTGCTGCTCCTCTGAGACATGCCCTCTCTCCTATGCAAGCTATCTTAGATCTTGTTTTATCTTATCTTCTTAGGTGCCCGCTGTCATATAAGGGGAAAAGGCAGACTTCAAACTGACGGATAATGTACCAGTGGATCTGTGAGCAATTCCTGAAGCTCAGCAGAGCATCTGAGACTCTCCATCCTCTCCTAGTGAAGAACTGACTGTACACTTGGTCACAGCACATGGAGACAGGAGCTGAGGATGCACCCTGAGACCCTCCCCCTGTGCACGCATTGCAAAGCGCTGGGAAAGGGTGTCTGTATTTTAAAGTAGACTCATGGAAATAGACCTTATTCCCCTCTCTCACACTCAAGCTTACACTTATACCACCTTGCACCGTTCCTCCGAGTGTTCCTGTGCCAGCACAGCTCACAGTAATCCAAGACTGATACAGAGCCCAGCTCCTGCCTTCTGTGCTCCCCAAGGTGGCCAGCATGCACTGGTGCTAGATGTGGCGTTTGCATCTTCTTGGAGCTGGGGGATGACAATGCCAGAGATGTCCCTGACCTCTCCTCCTCAAGGAGTCCTTTGGATTTACTGTCTGTTCCTTTTCTCAGCACTGGCAGCTCCCATCCTGCCCTTCATCCTGCCTCCATCACCTGCCCAGGTCTTTGGGCTGGGCCTTGCCTAGGGAGGATGCAGGCAGCAGTGCCTTCAGCATGGAGAAACTGCTGTGGAGCCCTGAGACCCTGTGGGGTGTATGGGGGAACCCTGAGACTACAGGAGGAAAAGGCACTGATGATTCCTGAGACCACAGGGGTTGGAGAAGGGAGCCCCATGGCCATGGGGGAAATGGGAGTGCAGCAAGGAGCCTTGAAACAGTGGGAGACAGGGGGAAGCACTGGAGAGGCATGGGAACACTGGG